TATCTACATTTGTAATTTTCTTAATCTGTGACCCGTTGACCCGACGGGTCGGGTCGGGTCAACTGTTTAAAAGTTCGGGTTGAACCACTGACCCGACCCGACCCGACTCGTTCGGAGCTCTATTCACGAGCCTTAGTTGATCTTGATTTAGCAAATATATTTAAACAATTTCTATTGCAATATTCAAATATACATGGTTTACCTTCTCCAATGAAACTCAGAGATGATTCAGAACCGTATATCTATTTACCAACTGATCAAAGATATACTACAGTCTATAAAGAATTTCATTGACATTTTTATTTAGAACATGATGAATCTACCAAAATTATTGCATATAAAACATTTTACAATCTTTGGCAACGATTGACACCACACATTAAATTTCTAACATCTAGAAGTGATCTTTGTGATACTTGCGAAGAATTTAGATCAAATTTAAAAGCAACAAAGGATCAAGATGATCAAGAAAATATCAAGTTTGAATATGATAAACATCTTCTAACTGCAAAAGTTGAAAGAGAACACTATAATCAAGTAATTAATAAATATAAAAATGATTCATCAATAACACACATCTGCTATGATTGGGCACAAAGTGTTGTAGCTCCCTATTCTCCTCAACAAGTTGGATCAATTTATTTCAAGTCACCTTTTTTAATACATCTTTTTGGTGTATGTAAAACTGATGAAGGTGATAACCATCAGCTAAATTTTACCATAGGAGAGGATGAATTACCAAAAGATGTACCAAAAGGAGCTAACACAACCTTAAACATGGTTTATCATTTTCTTTTAAAAATTGGAAATGTTAATAAAAAATCTCTCTATGTTACATGTGATAATTGTTTTGGACAGAATAAAAACAATCCATCACTCTGGTTCTGGTCATGGATAATAATGTTAGGGTGGTATGATAATATTTACATAAATTTTATGATCCCTGGGCATACAAAATTCATCTGTGATGCTTCTTTTGGATCCATTAAAAAATTATACAAATATAGTTGCATAAATACTGTTGATGATGTTGAAAATGTTATAAATGAATCATCTAGAAATAACAAGTCAATTAGATATAATGATGGCTTAGGTTGGAGGTGGTATGATTTTAGTTCTTTATTAAATGATAATTTTAGAGCCTTACCAAGTATAAGAAAATATTACCATTTTCGATTTAGTGGTAGTTCAGAAGATATTGGAAAAGTTTATGTTTCAAAAAAATCTGGTAGGGAAGAAATTTCTTTCAAACTTCTAAAAAATACTAATTTTGATAAAAATACTCCATTAAATATACTTGAGATTGCTCCATTATCAGATGATAGAAAAAATTATTTGTATAAAAAAATTCGCCAGCATGTAGATGAGCCATTTAAAGATATTCTTTGTCCAAAACCTAACTAATTTAATAGTTTAATGTATTATTTTTTTAATGTGTATGTATTATTATTTTAATACGCAAAGAAATTTTTTATTGTGTGTAACAATAAAAATAGGGTGCGTAGATCTTTTTAAATTTGCGCAAATTATTCTAAAGAAAGTATCTGGCCTACGATTCTTCATTTTTTTATTAAACAAACAGGGTCTAATACTTTCACCAATTATAGTCTATATCTTATAGATTGATGTTATATAAAAAACTCGAATTTGGTCAGAGGACCTCGGAACCGGTTTTTGCTAGAGAACCCCCATATGGTAATGGGCATTAACCTTTTTATTCTAGCTTTGAGTTGCTTGGCAAATAGTATGGCATTGATATCTTCTTTAGCTAAATGGGATGGAACTGTTTTTTTCTTGGAAGACTTTGCCGAATCATCTTTGTCAGATTTTTTTGATGGCATTGTTGTACATGAAAATGAAATTATGTGAATTTCAAATTTACATGCGTGAAATTCAAATTAGCCAATCAGAATTTCACCTCACTCCATAATATTTCAATTTCACATAATTTCAATTTCACATACAACAGCTCCAAATGGTTTAATAAAAAACATTAACCAGTTTTTTATTAATTATAATATCGTGTTTGAAAATAGAATTTATTACATTAAAAAGATTCCCCATCAAAATGCAACTTTAGATTGTGGAATAATTGTCTTAAATTATATTGAACAAGAAATTGGGATAAGCAATCAATCATGGAGTATGCAACAATCTGATTATTTTAGAATTAGATATTTATGCCTAACTCTAAATTGCAACTCAGAAGAATTTGGTTTTCCACAAGGTGTTAGAGATTCAATTAAAATCAATTTTCCATTACAATCATATTTGGATGAAGATGGCAACAATATTGATTGCAATGATAATAATAATAATAATGGCAATTATGAAGACAACTTCAACCATGATGATTATGAATATCATAAAGATGATTTTGGTTGTGAAGATTATGAAGATTATGATTACAGAGATGATTTTGGTTGCAAAGATGATTTTGGTTGTGAATATGATTTTGGTTGTGAAGATTATGAAGATGATGTTGATTACAAAAACTATAAAGACTACATTAATTATAATGATTGTGGTGAAACCTCTAATAATCTTTGCTATGATGATTATGATAATTCAATGGATTCTGATCAGTATAGATTGAAATCTGATGAAATAAAATCATATTTGTCAAAACATTGGGAATCAATTGATGAGGCAGTAAAAGATGTTAAAAAATATGCAAGAGGACAAGGTTTTGATGCAAGCATCGGATCCTCAAGACATGATGGTGCTTATTTGAGATGTAACTATTCTGGAAAAAAAAGAGAGTAGGAAAAATCTGGATCCTCTAAATCAGCATAATAAACAATCAAAAAAAATCAACTGTCCTTGGCAAGTTAATATCAGAAACTCAGCATCTCAAGGAGTCCATATTACAAAATTTGAGAACAAACATAATCATGAAATAACACAGGACGAAATTGAATATTATTCTTACAAAAATACTGATAAAAATGTTTGGGCAGAAATTGAATTTTTTGTTAATCAAAAAATTAAATTACCCCAAATAAAAAATATGATAAAACAAAAGTGTCCAAATGAAAGAATAAATGATAAAAAACTGGATAATTTTGTGCAATCTGTGAAAAGGGTATCAAAAAATGATGCTGGAAATTTATGCAAAAAACTGACTTATATGAAAAATAATGATCCAGAATGGTTTGTTGAGTTCTATATTGATGATACCAGAAGATTGAATAGAATTTTTTGGATGAGCCCCACTCAATTAAAAAACTGGCACAAATACAATGACATAGTAATAATTGACAGTACATACAAGTCAAACAAATTTAATATGATTTTATGTTTGTCCTTGGTGTAAACAATGAAGGACAATCAATAATTTTATGTCAATCTTTATTTGATAACGAAAGCTTAGAAATGTTTAACTGGTTTTTTAAGTGCTTAAAGTCAGCAGTTTCAAATAATAATTACATCATGACAACATCAGTAATAATAACAGTATCAGTGATAATAACAGTATCAGTGATCATGATGTAATTATTATTTTTATTTTACTGTAGTATATATATAAAATATTTATCTTAACTAATTTATTTTAAATTCAATTTTTATAGAATTTAAATAATCATGACAACATCAGTAATAATAACAGTATCAGTGATCATGATTATTTAAATTCTATAAAAATTGATTTAAAAATAAATTAAATATAAGATAAATATTTTATATATTATATATATACATACTATATAGTAAAATAAATAAACAATAATTAAATCATGATTATTAATTACCTGATTTAACTTTAAATCCTAAGAATATTTTAAAAATAAATGTTAATTATACAATTTTGAATCATTTACAATTTACTCATCAATTTTCATTACTTACTAAAATTTTGTTTAATTCATCTTCAGTATACAATATATCTATCTAGAAAAAAATTATTTGTATTAACTCTTTTGTTTTTGGATTAAATATCTCAAATTGTGGTTACTCTATTGCTTTGCTTTAAATATCAAATTGCTAATAACTTACATTTGAATCTATTTTTCCTTTTATTGTGTTTAATTGGCTGCTTGGAGATCTTTTTTTAAATATGGTAAAGTAGCCTTTATTGAATGAAATATTGGTGGTTTCTGGCATACTATTGTTCAAGTAACTAATGATTGTTGTAAATTTCAACTCTTGATCTTGGAGTGATTCCATATTTTTTTGTTTTGTTTTGAAAAAAATTGATAATATCTCAAATGAAAAATTGATGATAATTGATTGGTGCTTTAAAGGTCACAATTGACCTTGAAAATATATAAAAACATACATGGAGTAATTAATTGGCAGTTTGAAGGTTACTGTTGACCTCAAAAATATATAAGAAATAATAATTGGGTATTTCAAGGTCAGTAAAAAACATACAGGCAATAATTGGTAGTCTTTGAGGTCATCATCATTGATCTTGAATATAGTTTTATATCTGATTAGATTAAGATTTGTTTAGATTAAGATTAATATTAATTAAATAAATTTATCTTCACAAATAAATCTTTAATTTGTGTGACCTTGAACAATGAATAATAAAGAAAAAATCAATTTATTTTTATTGTGTGCTTCCTTGCTCATCTAGAGTCATTAGTCAAAAGGATAGTTTCAACAAACATTAGGCATTTCGACTGTTGAAATATATTTGACAAGGTCACTTGATTTGCTGTAATGTTGAAACATGTTGAAATGTTGAAAGTCTAAATATTTGTCTCTAAATCAATTATTAATGTATAAAACTGACTATTTGCACCACCAATAATATTAGTATTAGCAAATTTGAGAATAGAGCCAACTTTTTAATAATAATAAAATAATGCGGGTTTTTTTTTGTTTGAAATTATTATTGGCTATATATCACTTGTGACACATGATCTTCAAGGAAATTTAATTTTTTCTTCCAACATTCAATACAATCTTTATCATAGGAAAATATAAAGTTTGTGATTTTTTTTTGCGAATTATTCCCAAGATTGTTATAAGGGAATAGATTTTATTTTTATGTAATTTGTAAGAATTTATATTAATAAATTTAAAGCATTGCTGAAAACATTAATTATTTTTAAATTTGAGGATTTGTATAACCATTTCTGTGTTCATTATTGACCTTTAAAACATATATGGAATTTCAAGATCATGATTGACCTTAAAACATAAAAATTTCTAGAGAATTTCAGGAACACAATTGACCTTTAAAATGCAGAGAATTTCAGGGTCACATTTGATCTTGAAAACATATAGAAAATTTTTGAACTTGAAAACAGAGAATTTCGGGATCACAATTGACCTTTAAAATGTGCAGAGAATTTCAGGACCACATCTGACCTTTAAAATGCAGAGGATTTCAGGATCACAACTGAGCTTGAACCCATAGAGGATTTCAGGTCACATTTGACCTTGAAAACATATAGATAATCTCAAGTTCACATTTGACCTTGAAAACACAGTGAATTTCAGGATCACAATTGAACTTGAACACATAGAGGATTTCAGGGTCACAATTGAACTTGAAAACATAGTGAATTTCAGGATCACAATTGATCTTTAAAATGTGTAGAATTTCAGGATCACAATTGACCTTTAAAATGTGTAGAGAATTTCAGGCTTGCATTTGGCCTTGAAAACACAGTGAATTTCAGTGTCACATTTGACCTTGAAAACATATAGATAATTTCGGGGCCACAATTGAACTTGAAAACACAGTGAATTTCAGTGTCATATTTGACCTTTAAATGTATAGACAATCGACCTTCAAAACATGTAGAGAATTTCAAGATCATAATTGAACTTGAAAACATAGTGAATTTCAGAGTCACCTTTGACCTTTAAAACATATACAGAATTTCAGGATCATAATTGATCTTTAAAATGTGTAGAGAATTTCAGGATCACAATTGACTTTAAAACACATAGAGAATTTCAGGCTCGCATTTGACCTTGAAAACACAGCGAATTTCAGGATCACAATTGAACTTGAACACATAGAGGATTTCAGGGTCACATTTGACCTTGAAAACATATAGATAATTTCGGGGTCAAAATTGAACTTGAAAACATAGTGAATTTCAGAGTCACATTTGACCTTGAAAACATATAGATAATTTCGGGATCACAATTGAACTTGAAAACATAGTGAATTTCAGAGTCATCTTTGACCTTTAAAACATATAGAGAATTTCAGTATCACATTTGACCTTTAAATGTATAGACAATTGACCTTCAAAACATGTAGAGAATTTCAAGATCACAATTGAACTTGAAAACATAGTGAATTTCAGAGTCACTTTTGACCTTTAAAATCTATAGTGAATTTCAGGATCACATTTGACCTTTAAAATATTTCAGTGCCACAATTTATCTTGAAAACATTAATGTTAATATTAATATAGAGGATTTCAGGGTCATAATTGATTTGAAAACATATTAATATAGAGTTTCAAGGACATTATTGACCTTTAAAATTTTTTGGCAGTTTCAGGATCATGGTTGACCTTTAAAATGTAATTCCAGGTCATCACTGATCTTTGATAAACATATTGGCAATTTTAAGGCACTGTTGATTTTAAGAATAAGTTTTGAGGTCATTATTATTTGTTGGTGATTTGTTGGTCACCATTGAACCTGAAAAATATATATTTATTATTTGTTTTTATTACTACATTTCTCATATATAACCCACATAGGATTATCCTATTCCATCTCGTCATCGGTGAGATAGGATAATCCTAGTGGAATTTGTCCGCATTTCCTGCAAAATATTGTTGCACTTCTGAGTATAACTTTCAAATTTAAAAAATCTATTAATATATTACAAATGTAACCAATCAAATCAATTAACGAATTTTAAATGTTTTAACAAGAGAGTCACAAAGGGTCAATACACCCAGCATGAGCCATCAGCAAGAATTCCACTCTCTAATTCGAACAAGAATCTATATTAAAAATAGAAACACCACTCTGGTAACCAAATAAACAATTAAACCCCACTGTTTAATTTTCGACTACGAAAGAATAAATTTGTTTATTATTTAATTTGCAAAAAAGTTTGTTACAGAAATGAATTGATTAACAATTTCCTGCCTCTACATTTATGAGAAAAGCTCTGAAATGTTAATTGACTGGTAACTAATTCAAGAAGAGTAAAATTCAACTAATTTATTTTAATGTACAATTGCACGTCTTATATAAAGTTGTTCTGGAAAATCAGCTGGTATATATTGGTATAATATAATTATTCAGATAAAAAATTTTAATTAGTTTATTAAAGTTCAAAGATTAAAATATAAATATTAATAAAATTAACTTTATAAATCTTTCAATAACCTTCATATAATCATATTTTCAAGATCAAACCAACAGAATTAAACAAAGGAACATATTTTGGATATTAGTGTGTCTTCATTGGTATCAAACCCTTTATATGATCGTTATTGTGATTCAACCAAGGTCTGATCGTAATTCGGTATTACGAATGAATATGGCTTATTTTTGTCAAGCCGGTTGAATTTGAACTCTAATACTAAACAGACAAAACGAATTTAGAATTTTTTGGACAATCTTATTTATTATTATTATCATGCAAAATACAAACAATGAAATTTATAAAAAAAATAAAACTTTGATAATGAAAATGAATTGCTCTGATGCGTGCCTCAACATTCGAAGGCATTGTAAAAATCAAATCACGAATACCATTTTGGCACTACGTGCTCTAACCCCTGAATTCAGATACAATTTTTTGGTCCACAAGTGAAAAATAGCGGGTCCATTTACATGTTTTTGTAGTAATTTATTAGGCTACACCATTGCGAAAAAATTTGCGTTACAAGGGTAAAACTTTTATTGGCTAATTATTTTTATTATATAGAAGTTTCGTATTATTATTATTACTCAACACAAGGGAAAAGATCCAATTGCTACAATTATTATTAATTGACTAAAGAAAAGAAAAGAAAATATGTCAATTACTTCTGCCGCTACTGTTATTATTATCGCGCTGCAAGGCCTACAAAGGGAAAAATGGAAAATGTTTTTTAATTGGGTTAGATAGTGCATATATTAATATTATTCGAATGATTCGTTTTATTCGAATTTGCCAGTTAAAAAATTTCGTGTGATTAAAAATTTTTGCGCGGATATTAGATTCCTTAATTTTTAGAAAAGTGTGATCGACAGATTATTTTGGGATCAAATTAAAAAAAGATCGTACGTAGTAATTATGTATTAGTGGTAGTAGTAGTTAGATATACGCCACCCTTAAATTCTGATCCCTAAACTCTTTATTTATTATTAGTATTTGCATTAGTAGTTAATTAGTAATAATAATTAGTAATAATAATAATAATAATAAAAAATGTTCAAAAAACTTTTAAGTCATAATAAATTATTTTCTTGTAAAATAAAACAAAATTCATCTAATAGTAATAGTGTATTATTATCGTCACCTGTCGATCATTCTAGAAATAGACAATTTTCAACTTTATCAAAGAACAATGTTAAATTGATAGATGATTTCAATAACAACAAGAACAATGATGACGATAGTAATAATAGTTTCATAGATGATGATATAATAGATTTTGATAGTAGTGGTGATGGTGGTGGTATACTTGGTCAAAAAGAATCTCATGAATGGACTAAATTAGAAGTTAAACAATTAGAGAATCTTGTTGAAAAACTCGGTGAAAATTGGGATTTGGTTTCCAAGTATATGTTTACTAAATCACCAGTAGAATGTTTTAAAAAATATAAAAATCTATTAAGTATATTACCTGATCATCATACAAAAAAATTTAAACATAGCAATGATAATGATGACTTAATTTTAGACCATCAAAAAGAATTACCAACAGAAAAAAGTTGGAAGGAAGAAGAAATTAAATTTTTGAATAATTTAATTGAGATACATGGACGTAGATGGAACCAAATTATTAAACATTTTCCAAGTAAAAGTTCTAGTGAAATAGAAAATTTTTTAAAGAACAATCCAGACAAATTTCCTTCATTAAGCAAACCTACTCAGGTTGCACCATCTATTAGATGGCCAAATGATGACATAAAGATTTTAAATGATTTAGTTTATAAACATAGACATGATTATGATTTAATTTCAAAATTCACATCAAGCAAAAAAACTTTAGGCACAACTTCCACCACCACCAGCGCCACCACCACCGCCACAGAAACAACAACAGATCATGATCATCTTCCTTGGGCAAGGTATGAAATAAATTTACTAAATGAACTTGTTGAAACATATGGACAAAATTGGTTAGTAATATCTAGTAAACTTCCTGGTAGATCTGCTACTTCATGTGAATTTGAGTATCATTTATCTTGGAACCAAATTAATAATGATGTCACTTCAATAGCTAATCACTGTTTATCAAAAGAAGTAATAGATGCATTTAATCTGCTTTTGAAAAAGTATGGTAAATGGCAATTAGTTCCATTACTTGTACCAGGATTTACACCTTTAAATTGTAATTCACGTAATAGTCTCAGTCTCAAAACATGTCAATGGTCACCTGAAGATAAAAATTTATTAAAGAATATAATAACTGAATATGGTTTTGATTGGGATAAAATTATCCCCAACTTTCCATATAAAAAGTCAAATGATATACGTCAACATGTTTTCAAGTATCTTACAAAATATCGTCCTCGTGATATTATTAATGATGCATACAAATCAAAACCAGAGGTTAAATGGGGTGCAAATGATATTTACCAGCTATTTAAATTAAGATATTCAGGTAATGATTTTACAGAAATTTCAAAAAAACTTAAACCAGTAAGAACACCATTAGCATGCTATGTAAGATTTTATTATATTTCAAAATATTATGAGTCATTAAACACAAATTGGTCATTGATGGAAGTTGTTGAGCTTCAATTTTTATACAATAAATATGGAGCTAAATGGAAATTGATAGCGAATAAATTGGAAAATAAGAGATCAGTCAAAGAGATTAAACAATTTTATTTTGACTATGAACACATATTTCCATTTTTTAATATGAGTAATTTCATAAGAACTAATACAACATGGAATGATGAAGAAATTGGACAATTCACAAAACTTTATCAAAAATACGGACCTGATTGGAAGACAATAACAAAGGAAATTAAAACTAAGAAAAGAAATCAATGTATATCGTTTTACAAATCAAATCATCAATTTTTAGTAGAACCAACTCATAATGAGCAAAAAAGTTATTGGTTTATTGCACGTAAGGATTGGACAAAAACAGATAGAGATTTATTAAAGGATTTATTAAAAAAATATGGAAATGATTATGGACGTCTTGCTGAATACTTTCCTGGCAGGACATTTAAATCCATTAAAAATCAAGCAACAAAGATGAAAAAAGGTGACGAAGGTTATGTTGGCTTGGAACTTGACGATAATGGTGATGTTAACACTAATCATTTTAATGATGGAAAACTTGAATCAAACGGTCGTAAAAGAGCAATATGGTCAAGCAGTGAAATAAAGAAATTAGTTGATTTGGTTAGAATATACAGTGGAGAATGGAGTAAAATTTCTGAAATTATGAAAAATAGAAGTTCAGATGCCTGTTCAAGAAAATATTATACTCTAGTATATCCTGAAGGAATTAGGGATCAATCTATATAATCATCATGTATTTTTTTTACATGTGCATATACATTATATATATACATATTTATTTAATATTTTACAGTGGAATTATTAATTTAGAATTTAATATTCAATATTAAATAAATATTATGCAAATAAAAATTGCTAAAGATAGAAACTGCAATTAGCTGCAATTGCAATTCAGTTTTAATAGGCAACTAGTTGCAATTAGTTGCAATTAGTTGAGGAGCCACATTATTAAACTAATATAATAATAATTTGCGGTGCATCTTTAATCTTTATATTAAGTACCCATGGCCATCGGTGTATTGCCGTAACTTCTTCACTTGTTCCTTTAATTTATCTCTTGTGGTTTCAATTCCTTTTTTTGGAGTTTAATAATAAATAGATCATGTTAATTAAATTGATTATATTAAAATTAATTTACTAAAAGTTATAAATGTAAATATTTATATAATAATAAGGAAAAAAGGGAAATTTCTGGATCAGTTTATGATGTGCAGGTTCAATTCTTTTGGTAGCAAGTAAGCTTGTTTTCTCACCTTAAAGGATTACAATTACTGCGTGTTCCTCAAATTTTCAAAATTCAAACTCATTATTATTATGACATCGTATATCGATACGCTCAAGAAGTATCTTGTAAGTATTATTAATTACAAGGATGAATGTGTTAATAACTGAATAAATGCTACAAGATGAAGAAATAAATTACATGTAGCACCATTGAAGGTTTAGAAGGTGTTCTATTATTAAGAAAAAATTTATGAGAAAATAAATGATAAAGCAGTAAGTAGTCTCGGACAGAATTCAAAACTTTATCATCTCTTACTAATATATATTCCAGGTAGTTTGTTCAATAAAAACATAATGTAATTATTTATTCCTACAAATTTTACTTGTTGTTTAGGAAAAATGAAATTTATTTATTTATATGCCGTATGAATTGATTTATATATTATTTTATTAAGAAATAGTTCAAGACACAATTAATATCTGAGATAAAGTGTTGGTCACCCCAAATATTATTATCATTATAGCTTACTATTAGCTGAATCATTCATTATTTGTTAATAAATTGCTCACAGAACGATCTAAACACGCGCTTTGGTAGAAAAAACAATCATTATTGTATATGTTTGAATTTAGGTCTGAGTTTGGTTCGTTCGTAACTCTGTTTAAATTCATCATAAAAACCCATAAAACCAGCTGTAAATATATTAAATTTAACACAAACCAAAAAATCGATAAAGTAGTAATTGGTAGAATAGAGCCCAGAAAAACATTTAAATCAAACAAACTAAGTAATTAGTATTAGTGAAAAAATACTAAAGGCTCGGATTTTCGGTTAGTAAATCGGCAATTGAAATTTGCTTCGCTAGCACTAGGGGAAAAAAGACAGAAGTAATTCGGCAATATATGAAGATGAAGATATAATCTGCAAAAAATATCTGCAACTACAATTTTATTGGTGTTGGCGGTTGTCATCACTCTAGTTATTTAAAAAGAATGGTTTATGTAAATTAAAACCTTAACCTTGATATTTGTTTCTTAGTGGACCATTAAATGAAAAAAAATACTCAAAAAATAATAAATCAACTTCCAATTGGTAGGTCCTATTCATGACGCCCTACAACGTAGAGCATATATAACCTCATATAATAAACAATTAATGTGTAACCTGTCGAAACTCTGTCGATTGATTTCTGGAGGAGTTTCTCCCGCAACCTTAAACACACCCAACGTCAAAAATATGATTTTGAGTTAATAACATTTCTATATGTAACTCATCACGAAGATCAATTCTAGCTTAGAAACCATACCCACTTTACTTAATAAAATTTTGAGAAATTTTCTGTTAAAGTTTTAAAAAAATAGTAAGCAAGACATTGGCAATATAAACAAGGATAATTACAAGGATTGTGATTTTGAGTTAATAACATTTTTTATATGCAATTTATCATAAAAATTAATTTTAGCTTAGTAACCATACCCACTTTACTTAATAAAATTTCGAGATATTTCGAGATATTTTTCATTAAGGTTTAATAGAAAAATGCAGATCTTTGATTTTCTCAAAATCGTAATTTTGACGTTGGGTGCGTTTCTATTGTCCACGCCCATATGATTGAATATGATTATCTTATATTAAAAAGGAGGTTTAGTGTAACATATTGGTGTGGTAAAGATTGTAACACAAAAATATATTATTGCATTTCTGAACCTAATTCCTAAATTTGAAAAATCCACAAAAAAAATTTGAGACAAAATTTTTTTTACATTAATAGACTCCTTTTTTAAAGCTGAGTTGAATGGTGGTATTTTTTTTTAAATCAGACATGTGGATCACATGATATTTCAAGTTTTTTAACTTTTGAGTATAGATGATCTGCACCGTATTCATGAATACAAACCCTACACTCAATCACTTCACATAAATGTAAAACTTTTTTAGATGTTAATAAAATATTAAACCAGTTGCTCTTTCTAAAGTATCCAAAGGTACTGATAAATTGGATATTAATATTGATGATGGTATATTTTCATTTGGTAAAACAAATGTTGCTAATGCATAAATTTTACCATCATCGTCCTTAGAATCCCTATCAAAATTAAAGACTAGTGTCTAAGGTTGTGGGCGAAACCTCTTAATGACTGTCGAAACTCTGTCGAAACTCTAATGAACAATTAATGTGTAACCT